GGTTCCAACAGGGGGTAGAAGCAATTCACAAGTATGATTTTCTTTTTTTCTGAGATCAACAGAGTGGATGTTCTACAGTCACAATGAATCATTATGAAATAACTATGTATTCCTTTATAATTGTTATATAAAGGGATAGGGAATAGACCTGTGATTGTATTGGAATAGGGAATTCTCGGGTAAAGAAATCTCCAGTACTAATGCAGATCAATTCTTTCTTTGCAATTTATAGTCCTAGAGATGCTTAGAACACTGAGAAGTTTAGTGACTTGCCCACGGTCACACAGCCAGTGTGTGCCAGAGATAGAAGATATACCATGCTATTTACTATGCTATATGGTATCTATATTTAATCTAGTGGAATTTATTAAGATAATTAATATCACATGCTAACTATTATTAATTATATCATTATTTAAAAATTAAAAGAGCCAGTCAGAGGACAGTAGGCAGAGGGCTAGCCTCTGAGCCAAGAAGACTTTAGTTTAAGTGCAGCCTCTGGCACTGGGCAAGTCATCTGGCTATTCAGTATTCTAAGCAGCTCTCTAGGACTATAAATTGTGGGCAATGGTCTACCCCGCACTGGTAGAGGCAGTTTCACACACACTCTGCTCCACTTGGGAATTCCTTATATTACTGAAATCACAGGCCCAATCCCTACCTAACAATGATTAAACTCATATGTCACATATTAATTATTAATAGTCTATATACCTTCTCCCTTTTTAGAATCTGCAAACTAGAACATGGCCTTAGAAAGGTACTTTCTGTTCTTATTCAGCTACTTAGTTCTGGTCTTAAACCCAACCAATCAACCTCCCCTCTAATCACATAAACACCCACATCTTTTTTACTGGCAAATAAAAGTATTTAGCTTCCTTATGACTTTTGTTACAGTAATTAATTCCAACCATGAAAATATTCACTGGAATATATGCATAACTTTTTACATTAAAACAATCTTTTTGTTAAAAACCACAAGAACATGTTTATTTGGCTATATAATGCACCCTTTAAGAAGGATGATCTTCAGAGAAGTACACAAGAAAATAATTCTCTCATACAATTCTTTAGCTGCTTAACTTTCTTATAACAGCTAGTCTTCTTTTTTGAAATCTGAAAGCCTACATATGACTTTAAAGAGAGAGAGAGAGAGAGAGAGAGAGAGAGAGAGAGAGAGAGAGAGAGTCAGTCCTTTTTTTCGTAGCTACCTACTTAAGGGGCCTTAAACCTCCCACTAGTCAGTCCTGTCATTCATCACCAGGCTGCTTCTCTGTAGGGAATCGGCTCACTGACTGCTCGGAGCTGATCAGGAAGAAGGTATCTCCTTGCCTCCAGCATGTCAGCTAAGCTGCCCAAGTACATGGCTGAGGAGGACTAAAATAGCTCTGCATGGAATTTTTATATGTCTGAGCACAGTTGAAGGTAAACTGAGTGGCCCTAGGCAAAATTGTGGAGCAGGTGAAGTTGGTCTTTGGTGCCCCTAGTCACCTCTTTCTCCACCTGTTTTACCTCCTTAGTACTCGGTACCCCTTAGAGGTGAAAGCCAGCTAATCTGGGCTCCTGCTGCCTATCTACAAGAAAGTGGCAGCAGCCCCTAGACTGGGTCTCAGCTGACATCTCTGTGGGGGTGGGGAGAAGAGAAGTGAAATATACCAGAAAGAGATGATCAGACTGTGAATTGTATATTACAAGAGCTAAAAGAACTATGATGGTAGAGAAAACGGTCTCTGTTGGAATAGGTGGTAGAAACGGGGCTACGGCACACTCTACCTGAAAGAGGAGAGGAAAGCAGCAAACACACATTCCCCACCTCTTCCTATCTCTGTCTCTCTTTTTGTCTATCTCTGTCTCTCCCATCTCTGTCTCCATATGTCTGGCCCCCCCCCCGTCTCTGTATCTCTCTCCTTCAATACTGTTGCATCAGGGGATGTAATTTGGAAATGGTGGCAATGGGGTTTACAGAATAGCAACCACAGGTCAACATGTGTCAAATTTTTTTTAATTCCATAAGTAAGGTATTGTGTTTGTAGAGTACAGTGGCACAGGGTTCTGTGTCATTGCATTTCTTTCATCTCTACTATGAGATCTGTGAAAACAATAGAATGACTTCCGGTTTGTGTGATAAGCCTACAGCCAAAATATGCCTTGGTAGAATCTTTAATTTCTTCAATTAATCTTTTATTAAAACATTTTGCTTTTATTTTCTTCTCTTCCTCCATCCCTTCCACTTCTCCACTCCATCTATGTCTGTCTCTCTCTCTTGCATCCCCTCTCTTTCCTTCCTCTTCCCTTCTCTTTTTTCCTTTTCCTGCTCCCTCTCTTACCTTCTTTCTCCCCTCCCCTTTCTCTTTCTCTCCCTTCTCCCTCTCTTCTCTTATTCCTTATCCCCCTCTCTTTTCCATCACCTCCCCCTCTTGCTTCTCCTTTCTCTCCTCTCCATCTCCTTCTCTCTCCCCCTTCTCCCTCTCTTCTATCTCTTTCTCCCTTTCCCTCCATCCCCTCTTTCTCTCAATATGTTTATACTTTGAATATAATTATATGTATATACGTTTTTTGAATGTAAGCTCTCTGGAAAGAAAGACTTTCCCTTTTACTTTTCTATCCCCAGAACATAACACATTTTGTTTCATAGAGTAAGGTTTAACAAATGATGAATTGAGTTAAATTACAAGTAGAATCCTGGCCTTCAGTGGCTAGGCTATGGTGTACCCAGCTTAGGAAAGGTTGATGAAGAAGCCACATCATACATAGGTCATTCTAGTGGTCATTCTACTTGCCCTCTTCACTTCCTGGGTGTCCAAATCTAGAAAGTATGTTTACAGGCTAGGAAAAGCCTATAATAAACCCCTGTCCCCACATTTACTGAGAATTAAGAGAATTATGGGGAAAGAAGTAGGTTGACACAAATAGTATAACCATAAGAGTCAGATAAAGTATTTATCACGTGACATAATGAAGAGACAAGTTTTGGAGGTTAAGGGACCTGGGTTGCCTTTTCAGATTGGTCACTAACTATCTGTGTGTCAATGGTCAAGTCATTTTCTTCCTCTACAAAATGAGAGAGTCGAACTTAAGATCTATAAAGCCCCTTCCAGGTCTAATATTTTGTACTTCCACAGAGGTACAGTTAAGGGAAAGATATTTGGTCATTTATTTTACTAGTAGTTAAGTGAGTTATTTTCCCCTTTACCTCTTATCCTCACTCTTCTTTAGGACTCAGTACCTTTATGGCCTATCTTCACTCCAACAGGTCTAACTGCTAACAGAAATCTATCCCCAAATATTGGTGGTGGGTAGAAGAGCATGTACCATTAAGCTTCTCTCCCAGACCTAATCCTTATTTCCAGCCCCGTCTTCACCCCCAAGTTCCAGATCTATTTATCCAGTTGGCTACATGATAAATCTATCAGGGTGTTTTACTAATTTCTTCAATTCAACATATCCAAAATAATACCTAAAGCTGATCTTTATCCATTTATGTACTTTATTCACTTCAAGTTGTATAAAATTATTAAAGTACCTGCTATGTGCAGAGAACTATGCTTTATTTCATTTTGTAGATATTTGTGTGTCTATCTGCTTTATCTCCCTACTATACTTTAAGCCCCATGAGGGTATGAGCTATATCTTAGTTAGATTTCTATCTCCTTTACTGGCATTCAGCACTTAATAAATACTTGTTGGTCTGAGCTGTCTGGCCACGCATTGTCTTAGGATGTTTTCTGTTCCAAGCTGTTCAGTACCACAGGGTAAGAAAGAATAGCTAAAAACAGTACTTCTCAAGATGAAGAACATAGGATAGTAAAACTTGATATGAAGTTTGAGTCAGGAGGACCTTCTCAGGGTCTCAGTCTTGGAGTAGAAGGAAAGGGAATGAAAAGAAGAATTGCAGAGCAATATGTTCAGTATCATTTTGTTCTCATGGGAGTAAGTTCTTTTACCTGAAACTATTTATAAAGGAGAACTAAAATGGAAAAGAGCAAAACTATAAAAAACTTAAGTTTATCTGCCTGAAAATGACTACCTACTGTTATTAATGTGTTTTACTTATCATTTATGGATGAGCACATCATCCATATATATTAGATTTATTTTGCTATCAAATTTGTTTTGTTAAAATACTAAACTCATATGGGTGATAATTTACATAGTATTTTAAAAAAATAAGAGGCATTGTTTTATTCTTTGGCTTTTGAGTCAGATTTCTCTCTTTTTTCATCTTTTTTTTTCCTAGCACTATCTTCCCAATATAGAAATCATTTGCAAAATGTTTCTCTAATAACAGACTTTGTCTTCTATTCACCGACTTCTAGAATAACTGGCCTTCACTATCTACCCTCCCAAGATTAGAATGGACCTTGACTGCTTATTCTACTTACAATGAATTTTCAGTTACTGATTTTACATAATTATCTTCCAGGTTCATTTAGTAACTGGTTTAAGACACTGAATTTAAAGTTGCAAAGTCTAAACATACATTGGGTATTGAATGGAATTTTAACTGGCCTCACCATACTGGGTTTAAGAAAGGGAATTTCATCTCGAATTTCAAAATAAAATATGATGATAATTCCATCACTAGAGACTTAACCAAATACCTACTATGTGCAGGGCATTATACTATGTTTTGGAAGACCACTACAAAGCAAAAGGTATGCTGGCTGTGGGGAAAGAAGGTCAAGGTTCATATCCTGCCTATCCCTCTTCCTGTCTGTGCATTTTACGCAAGTCACTTAGCGCTTGTCTACCTTAGTTCTCTCCCTATAAAGTGAAGCAGCTGGTCTTGATGGTCACAGGGGTTCGTTTCTACTCTAGCTCTATGATCTTTTTGTTGCTAAGATGCCCTTACTGATAAACGCTACCATAATAAAGAATGTTACATAAGCACACTCAGAGGCCTACAAAGCAACATAATCTGTAGGGTCTGTGGGGGAAGAGCTTAGTCTCAAAGCCCACAACTAACTGTGTGTTATCCTAAGATGAGAGTGAAATCTCACCTCTGTCTCCAGGAACCTTCTCAATGCTCTCTTCTTTTTGATACTCTTGCGACGAACATACACGGCAAATGTCAGGCCCACGATCACGAGGATGAAGAGTCCACCAATGACTCCTGCAGCAATCAGGGGAGTTCTACCAACCAGAATACAAAGACTTTTATGTAAGGAGAGAAGACTGCATAGAGAGCAGAGGCATGCATGAAATGAACCACATGGAAAAGCATGACTTTTGTAAATCATAAATTCAGTCAGTTAGAAGAAAAACAGATAAAATAACACATAAGGACTGCAATAAGGGCTTTCATTTTCACACTCCAAAAAAAAACCTTCATTTCAATATTTTTATAAAATGCCATGCACATACAACCAATTTTGAGGAAATAGGGAGGCAACAACATGCAGTTTGATGACAAATGTAAAACTGTAATGGCAGAATGAGAAAAATATACCAGAACATTGCCAAGGGAGGATTTTAAATTAAGTTTTAGAGTCAACTACAGCTTTCCTTATTTCCTATCTAAGAAAGGAAGGGAAAACATAGTTGGAGAATGCAGACATCTAACTAAAAGGAATGCTGTAATACATAATCATTGAACACATATTATCTCTCATGTGTGTGACTGTTGACACCTCTAAGTATTTCCCAAAGCATGTTCCAGGGGCCTCCATGCCCCCAGGACAATAGAGACCTCAAGTCCCTGGTACTTTATGGCATGATTCTAGGTACCAGAAGATGTTGGCACCTTAATAGTGAGGACAAGACTAGAAAAAGGATGAGAAAGAACTGAGATAGAAGCTCATAGATTTTCCAAAGTAATAGAAAACAGAGTCAGGCTATGCTAAAAAAGAAGAAAGAAAGAAAGAAAGAAAGAAAGAAAGAAAGAAAGAAAGAAAGAAAGAAAGAAGAAAGAAAGAAAGAAAGAAAGAAAGAAAGAAAGAAAGAAAGAAAGAAAGAAAGAAAGAAAGAAAGAAAGAAAGAAAGAAAGAAAGAAAGAAAGAAAGAAAGAAAGAAAGAAAGAAAGAAAGAAAGAAAGGGTGACTGTCTGGTAATATTCTCTGAGAACAGAAGCATGATATTTGGCCATTTATTTATGGTTTTCTAGAAAGAAAAATGTAAACCTAAAACCAAGAAGAGGCATGGTAAAGAAACACTAAGAAGCCATTGCAGCTTGAGGGTACTTGTGATGCATATGATTTCCCAAATCAGGATAAGGTAGGAAGACAACTTTAGATTGAGTTGTCATTTTACACAAACTCTTCTCCTTCTTTCCCTAGCACAGTTATCTTTCTGGCTTTACAGCTATTTTTGTCATTTTCATTTCCCATTCTATAATGTTTAGGATTAACAACACTGCAAGCTCCCTGTGGACAATGGACTGGACTATATCTTTCTTCCATAACACTTAGTGCTTAATGGGTTGGATAAGGACTGGGCCTGGAATCAGAAAGACCTGAATTCTGCCTCAGACACTTACTAGCATTATTATCCTGAGCAAGTTAATTGATCTCTCTCAGCATCTATTTCCTCTTCTGTGAAATAACAATAATATTGCACCTACCTTACAGGATTGTTGTGAAGATAAAATGAGACAAATTAAGGAGTTTTGAAAAAGCTCTATATCAATGATATTTTGTTGTGGTTGTTGTTATTATTAGCCAGTCTAGTATAAGGCACTTAATAGATGTCTTATTAACTATTTTGATATCATAGTTGATATCTGTGGCAGAGGTAATAAGTAAAATGAATCCCTGAATTTCAAAGTTTTTTAATCAATTATGACATTTTATACTCAACCCCTCTCTGAGGTGTTTTTAATAACTTCTAGAGGTTATTCAAACAACATGGCCACTGTGTGTGTGTGTGTGTGTGTGTGTGTGTGTGTGTGTGTGTAATTATCTGTTATTGTTGAATACATTAATTTTTTCTCTCAAGGTTGTGTCTAAAATACTGTTAGTGGATAATTGAGTAAATCTTACGTTATCTCAATACCTTTAAAAGATAAGAATACAACTCATTATTACAAATGGCATTCTTATTTCCTAACAATTATGTTGCCTTATAGAAGCAGAGAAACCCTAAAGGTGTTGTCCATCCTGAAGAACATTTTCTGACAATCCAAAGTAGTAAAGTCTGCCACAATCTACTTATAATTCAACTTGTGAGTCCCTAAATGAGATTTTTCAAAGGAAAATGACAGATGTGTGTATGTACATACATATATATGTGTATAAATACATGTGTATATACATATATAAATATATGTATGTGTACACATATACATACACATACATCTCTATACTTACCTACACATTTGTGTGTGAATGTGCACATATACACCAGGAAAATCAAACTAGGTTATGGACACATGACAATCACTATGCTAAATTAGCATCACATTCTCAAGAATAGGAGCCAAAGAAATATTTAGCATAATGCATCAAACTCAGGTGTTGAGCTCAGCTTCTAAAAATTCCCTTGAAAGGCCAATTTGGCAGAAATCATTACAAAGACTTGGTTTCCCAAGAAAGACCAATTTGATAGTGACTAGAGTTGGTTGAGATCAGTACGTAAACATTTTTATGCCAATTTACACTGATCTCTCAACCTTCTGTGCCTTGCTATCTGATCTGAAGTGACATGAAATGAAATAAATGAAGAGGAGAAATATAGCACTGTGGTATAGTTTTTTTAAAAAAGAACAGTAACTGGCCACCAAAAACAAGTTCAAATCTTAGCTCAGATACTCACCAGTCATGTGACTTGGTACAAGGCACATTAACTTCATTGAGCCTCTATTTCTTCATATTTACAATGGGAAATATATCTGTGGCATCTTCTCTCCAGAGTTATTTTGACAAAAACATTTTGAAAGTTGTAAAGATGTATGTGTGTGTATGTGTGTGTATAGCATATGCATGCGTGCACACACACACATACATATAATACATACATATATACATATATACATATACATATTCAATGTTACTCCTATAATAAGAAATGCCTTTCTTTCTATCATTTTATTTTCTTTTTAAATAAAGTAGAATAAGGCAGAATATTAGGTTTTTATGTTAGTTTATTTGTTCTTGAAGAATTTGGGGGAGATGTAATTGAAGTGATTCCATTTCTTACCTATAGCATTGGAGTAATTAAATTCACAAAAACATCTTAGACAGTTTCAGCCTTTCCCTAACTATATTTGATATAAAATAAGGCCAAAATGAACTATATTCACTTACTTGGGTTTTACAACTTTTCTGTTACCACCTCCAGTTGCCTATAAAGCACCCACACATCCAATGTAATAAATATAGCTAGATTGATAGACCAAGCATTTATTAAGATCTTACTACACACCAGGCCCTGTGCTAAGCACTGGGGATACAAATAAAAGCAATAAAAATGGCATTTGCCCCCTCAAGAAACTTACATTCTAATCACAGAAAGCAACACATGAAGGGGAGCTGGAAAGATGGGGAGGGATATAAGTAGCAGCATGATGTGTAGATGACTGGGAAGTAGAATCGAAACCTGTTCCTGGGGAAGATAATGTGAAAGCTCACCTATAAGGTCAAGGGGACCTTGGGGGGGGGCAGGGGAAGAGAACAATTCTGTTGTGGGGAAAAGATGAGGATCATAGCTAGAATATAGGTAGCACGATAAATTGAGAACTAAGACGTATTTCACTACAGTCATTCAGCCAGGCAACTAACATTTATCAAGCACCTTCAGAGTGTCAGGCAATTTTGCCAAGTGCTCTGTGTGTGTGTGTGTGTGTGTGTGTGTGTGTGTGTGTGTGAGAGAGAGAGAGAGAGAGAGAGAGAAACCAATCCCTGTTCTCCCAGAGCTCATAGCCTAATGGGAGAGTCAATATGCAAACAACTATGTACACACAGTTTATATCCTGGATAAATTAGGGGTAATCTCAGAGGGATAGAACAAAGATTGAAGATATGGAAAGGCTCCTTGCAGAGGGTGGGGCTTTTGCTGAGGCTTGAAGGGAGGCAGGAAATCATAAGGCAGAAATGAAGAATCAAATCGTATTTATCACTCTTCATTCCGTTAGCTCAACTACAATTCACTTCATCTCCTACGTTGAAAATCTTGGTTTTCTATTGGACTTTTCTAACTTCTTCACCTCACATTTAATTAGTTACTAACTCCTGATGATTCTAATATCTAAATTACCTCTCATTTATACAACCCTATTCCCAGTGCCTCCACTCTAGTATGGGCTCTTCTTGCCATTTGTTTGGACTACTGAAGTAGCCTCTTAATGAGTCTTTATCTCCATCCACTCCCTTCCCTTCCCTCTCTACTATTTCGTATCATCTTTTATACTACTCATAGGTTAATTGTTCAAATAAAAAGATCAGTTATAACAGAGGAATTATGTTATTCCTCTAGAAGAAGGTGGTGACTGAGTGGCCAGAGTGCTGGGGGCTGGAGTTAGGAAGACCTGAGTTCAAATCTGACCTTAAACACTAACTTTATGACTCTGGGCAAATGACTTAACTTTAGTACACCTCAGTTCACACAACTGTAAAATAGGGATAAAAATAGCACCTGTCAGGGCTTTGTGAGCATAGTGTCTGTCATATAGTAGGTGCTGCATAAATGTTTATTTCCTTCCCTTCCTCCGCTCAGTAATTTCTTGCCATCTAACAATGAAAGAACAGATTCCTTTGCCTGCTATTCGAGATATCCAAGCTGGTACTATACTACTTTCTGAGGCTTATCTAATTCTATTGCTGTCCATCTCCTCTATTCTTTATGCAAACATGATCACTCTGTATTTTACTCTGTTCTTTTTCTGGGCTTTCTGCTATATTGTTCATGATGTTTGCCATTCCTAAAATTTCCTGCCTCCTGCTGTTCATGTATTGAATTCCTAGTCATCTTTTAAAGCTCAATTGAAGCATGATGCTTCCTCTTTGAGGACATTTCCTGGTCCCTTCTCAATAACATTTTCCTTTCAAGCTTTTTATAGTACTTTCTTTTTGGTAACTCTGATGGGCACCTATCATGTATTGTTCTCTGTTACAGTCACTGTATCTGTGCACATCATTTCCCTTTGCTAAGCTTCATGAGGGTAGGGAATACTTTTTATCTAAATTTTAAGATGTCCCCAG